ATAAAACCACAGGTTAACAACTGGCTTTCCCATACAACAGATGCTCAAACTTCTGCTTATACCCATGTAAAAGCTAAAGAGAGTTTGGATTTGTGCAGAGATATGGGAAAATCTCTTACTTAAAGGTTACAAGTAACCCAAGTTTACATTTTAATTTGTGACTGAATCTTGACCTCTGAACCACATTCCACAGGGGTCCCAGAATGTGGAATCCCTGACCTGCTGAGTATCATTTAACTCAACACTTAAGTGTTTTAAACTAATTAGTGTTTTAAGGAGTTCTTTTCACCAGAAAAAAAAAAAAACAACCACACAACTTGATTACTTTAAAATTAAGCTCCTGAAATGCCTTCTAAGCAACTGGGCCTCCTATGAATTACTCCATGTAGTTTATCTAAAGTTAACTGAGTAACTTCCTGGTCTCCTTTCCTCCTCAGTACTTATAAAATACCAGCAGCAGCTCAATTGCTTCCTACTTTGTGGTACCAATCACAGATCACACCGTGCAAGGCTCTGGATGTAACTGCAGCAGCCCAAATCTTCTTTGCCCTGATTAAGTATTTATAACAAAATGGTGGGGGGAAAAAAAGGAACCTCCAGGCTTCAAAGACACAAATTCCTTTTGTGATTCTAAATATCTGTTATTGCCTTGTTGAGTTACAAAAGGTTTCACAACACAAAGGAAAGCAAGTGCTGGTGTAATTAAGTCTCTCCATCAGCCTAGGATCTCCGTTTGTGCTGGATCTTTGTAAGACCAGCACTGCCACATTCCACATCAATTCCCTCTCACTGGTCTTTGTACCCACTTCAGGCTGCAACTCCAAGTAGTTTTGCTCCTGCCTGGCAGACACACCCAAGTGTAGCCCTGTTTTTTCCTTACCTTGTGCCCTAAAAATTGTCCACATGGATACAGATAAACAGTGTTGAGTTGACAACCGGAGTAAAAAGGGATTGAACCTTTTTACAAAATGGGAAGTCTGGGATATCTAATTATTTCTGCTGATCTTCTGAGTTTTTATCAGCAGCAATATGCTAAAGCAATGCAAGACAATTTAAGCCTTACATAAAAAAGGTCTTTGGTTAGAAAAGGCAGTGGTTAATGGCATCGTGTTCCTTAGCAAATTCCCAGGTCTCAAATTCAGTTTCTTCTTCTGTTCCATTCCCCATCTCAAACCACTGTGCAACTTCGGGAAGGGCTCCTAATGACCAGTTCTCTTACCAATGATGTTAACCAGCATATCCCACTGTCCTCCATCATTGGTGGGGTTGGAGAGCAGGAATTGGACCAGTCTTCCTTCCACTGGCTCCTTTTTCTGGGCTGTCTCCACAAAAGCATTTAAAAAGTAGTAACAACGCTCAACCTGAAACACACAGGGGAAAGAAACCCTTTTAAGTCTGACATATTCATTAATTGCTGAATATTCAAGTTGTTTGGAAGTACAAAATAGATGAAGCTACTTCCTGCTCATCCACTGAATTCCTTATTTCCCCCCTCTAGCATTCCAGGGGCTACATCTTTGTTACAGAGCAAACATTTAGGAGTGAGTTAGCTCAGAGCTTGAGGGTAGGGGAACAGGAAATGTGAAACATAAGTTATGCAATGAAGCCTGGCCCGAACTAGCACCAGATTCGCTTGATTTCCCTTAGGGGGACAAGAAGACACACAGCAGGTCACAAGCATGAGTGACAGTCCTGTTTCCCCTGAGCCTCCAACAAGTAACTTATGAAATATCAAGTAACTCCTGAAGTATCAAGTAACACTTGAAAAAAAAGACTTTTACTATTCCAAAACATCAACGTCTTGACAACTTTCTTCTCAAAGTGAAAGTCACACTTTGCTCCACCTGCATTTGAAACACATTTTTAAAGAACTTTTCAAGTTTCTTTTTTCCAGATGCATCATTAAAGACAACCCAGCCTAAAAGAAGTCCCATCCCTACACTAACACCTGACTGCATGAGCCATCCCAGCACAACCTGCACGACCTTACCTTGTCCCAGAAAAAGAGATAGGACTGGCTGAACTCAAACTCCTCGATGTTGTATTTCTTCATGAAAGGAAGACGCATCGCATTGAGGCAGGAAAAGATCCAGCATCTCCCTGAGAGATCAAAGGAACCAGGATTAAAGTGGAACGCCTGTTCTCAAGAGCTGCACAACAATTCCTTTCACCACGAGATCCGTGACACAGTTCTGCCTCCAGCCTTTGGCCAGGGCTGGTGCACCACACCAAAAAGCTCTGAAGGGCTTCTGAAATCTTTCACTGCGAGCACAGGTCTCGGTTATAGGAGGAAAGAGAGGGAAACGCTGCAATTCTAAAGCCTGCCATTAACTCGGGAGATGCTGCAGGGAGTCAGCTTTGCTCCGGAGGCCGGACAAAGGACTCCCAGCAGCACAGTCGGTGTCACCACTCAATCCCCAAACGCCACCCCCGGCCCGACTTTTCCCCCCCAGCCCTCCTCACCGGAGTTCTTCTGGTTGGTGACGGGCTTGCCCTCGGCGGGCACGGCGTGCTGGAAGACCTGCACGGTGTCCTGCACCACCTGGCGCTGCAGGCACACCTCCAGCGGGTCGTTGCACGTCGCCACGTTCTGGGCCAGCAGGAACTGCGGCTCGGCCCGCAGCCGCCGGCTGAAGGCGACGGCCTTCTCCGTGCTCAGCCCTGCCGGGGGGACACGGGGGGCACCGTCACGGCCCGCCCCGCAACACCCACACCCTCCTCACACCGCGGAACCCCCTCGCTCACCGCCCCCCTGCCCTCCCGCACGCACCCGAGGGTCTCCCGGCCCACGGACAGGACCCCCCTCACCCACACCCCGGTAACGCTCCCCCCTCCCCTCCCGTCCCGTCCCGTCCCCACCACCCCTGCCCCGGTAACCCCCCACCCCAGACCTGCTGCTGAGGGCACGGCGAGTCTCCCACCCCACGCATGGATCCCCCGCCCGTAGCCCCGGTAATAAGGGCCGGTAATCGTTCTCCCCACCCCGGGGAACGGCGGGTCTGCCCCCCCACGGGCAGGGTCTCCCCGCGCGTAGCCCCGGTAAGGGCTGCGCCCCCACCTCCGCCAACACCCCTCACCCCATTAACCGCCCCCCCATTCCCCATGGCTGAGGTACCGCCGTGCCCCCTCCCCGGTTCCTCCCTCCTCACCGCGGGCGTTCATGGCGGCACCGGCGGCGCGCGCTCCCGGCACGGGCCCGAGGCGGAAGCGGCTCTTATAGCGCCGGCACCGGAAGCCGGAAGAGGGGCCCGAGGACGGGAGGGGGCGAGCGGGGAGGGGGCGTGCGGGGTGGGGACGGAGCGCGGTGAGGGACACGATTGGTGTAGGGGAGCCGGGGGCTGCCCCCTCAGAGCGACCCCCGTTACCGACCCTTCACAGTGACCCCCTCACAGACCCCTCGTAGTGACTCTCGCAGTGATACCTCACAGCGGCCCCTCGCAGAGACCCTCACACGGATCCGTCACATCTGCCCCTCACATTGACCCCTCACACCCACCCTCACACCGACCCTTCACACAGACCCCTCACACAGACCCCTCACACAGACCCCTCACACTCACCTCTCATACCGACCCTTCACAGCAACCCTTCATACTGACCCGTACACCAACCCCTCATATCGACCTCTCATACAGATCCCTCACACCCACCCCTCACACCCACCCCAGGAGCAGCAGTGCCAGGGGCTGTGTGTGGCTTCAGGCAGCTATGTCCCCTCAGGGCCGGCGTCACCCTGGGCAAGGGTCACCCGGCTGGAACATGCCCATCCCGCTGTGCCCAGCTCTGCCCCCGCGGTGTCACCCCCAGCTCTGCCGAGTTTGGCACAAGGGCAGTGTGCCAACACCAGCCACTCGGGAGCGTGAGGCGGCACCGACATGGCCCTCCCTGAGCCCTGGGGAGCGTCGGTCGAGGACACGCTCTGGATCACGCTCTGGATCACGCTCCGGATCAGGCTGTGGAGTCTCCCTGGTGAGTAACAGCCCTGCTCCTCCGAGAACAGTGTTGGTGCACTGCAGTCTCAGATGGATTTACAGCACACCATGTTTCTTTACAGCATTAGTAATGTACCATCCAAGGCATGATTAGGCCTCAACAGCTTGCCCGGACCTTGAGAAAAGTGCCTGAGTGGCACATTTGTTGGGAGAAGGGGTGGATGGAGATGTTTTCCTGCCAGTGCAGTGCTGGAGCAACCACACTGGAACTTCTCTGTGTGCTGTCAAGCGTTTGGGGCTGCCCCTAGTCCTGGGGTCTGGTCTCAGCCACGGAGACGGGAGGTGCAGAGCCTGCTCAAGTGCCAGGCAGCAGCACCTCTCTTCATTTGTGTGCATCAGCATCACAATCTGTCTGTGGCAAGCCAATGCAGATTCCTCTGTGGACTGATCCACAACCCACATGCCTCACTGCACGTGCATTCCTTGTCGGAATAAGCATGGAGGGCAAGAAATGGCACCATCTCAGGCAGCCTCCCCTCCACAGCCGTGCTCTAAGCAGCAGGTTAGAATTAACAGGTGCAAAGAACCAGTTATATTTTGAAATAAAAAAAAACCAAAAAGCCATATAAACTTGACCCGAAAAACTTGTTTCAGTGCTTTATCTCATCATCTCACGCAAGGCCTTAGTCCCACCCCTAGAAATGGATGTTTTCTGGGTGTGCACAGGAACCCTGTGTTCTTTACCTGCAGCAAAATGAACAGAAGAAACGAAAAATCACCTACGGGGAAAATCCTCATAAGCGGGTTGAATTCACCTGGGCTGAGTTCAGCTCCAGAAAGCACCATCAGCTTTTATCCCCAGTGCCTCCATCCAGGCACAGCCAGGGTGCTGGGGTGGCCAGGGCAAGGACAGCAGCCTGGGGCAGGATCTGTGTGTGTCCTGCCATATTCCCAGGGACCACTCTCTGCTGGGGCAGAAGGTGTGGGTCATGCTGAGTGCCCTTTCCCAGGTTCTGGCAATTTTAAAGGAAGTTCATTTGGAATAAGCACGAATAAGCAGTCAAATACTTACAGAGATGTTTCCCTTGAGTTATTGAAGCACTGAAAAGAAAGAAACAGTCTTGTTATCTTCCACATTTCCTGACCTAAGGGATATTGTTACAAATATCTTGCAAGTATGTGATGTCTCCCTTAAAATATCTAATATTTGATTTATCTACTGGTAATTCTAATTGCCAGGAGGAACCAGGAGGAACTATGTAGCAGTTCTCTAACAGTGAAAAGCAACACTATGAAGTAGAATATAAAAGACAGGAAAAAAACAGGGCATTGCAACAAATTATTTTTTTCCTATGAAAGTAGAGCTTTCCTTACCTTACATAATTTATCTTTTCGAGCCACAATTCCAAAAAATATCACACCTGCAACCACTACAGCAGCAGCAATAACAGCCTCCTTGGGAAAAACAGGTTTTTTATCTGTCAGGAAAGAGGAGGTTGGATATGTGATAGCTTATTGCAGTGATATTAATAATAATATGGCCAGTCTTCGCGAGCGAAGATCCAGGGAAGGTCTTTCCACCTTCCAGCCTGCGCATTGGATTTTTTTAGGTGAGACACAGTGTGCGCGGAACTGAGCCCACCCTTTAATCCTAAGGTTCATCTGCCGGGGCCAAGCGAGCTTGGACGGTGGCAGCGAGGTCCTCAGGACGTAGGTGGGTTGCCTTTAAGGGCTAACGAGCCCCACCTACCCGGGAGTGGCCCTGACCGGGAATCGAACCCGGGTCTCCGCGGTGATAGTGCGGCGCCTTTACCCCCTAGACCACCAGGAGCCCCTGCAGTGATATAACCCAGATCATTTCACAGGACTGCAAAAAGAGCTATTTCTTTCCCCACAGCTCTCACTGCTGCTCTCTCTGCTGTTTGCAGACTGACTGCGTGCATTAGTCCTCTGACAAGAAGGGAGCTGAGCCCGTGTTTTAGTGAACTGAAGAAGAACTGAAACATCAGCTCCAGAAGGAGAGTCTGTCCCCCAGGCACTGTTACTGCTCAGGAATAACGTGACACAGGTACCACTGCTTTTTATCTTGTGCCCTGAGTGTAGAAGTGACAGGTGCCTGGACAGAGGGTGGGGAATAGATGCCTGCTGGGTCACCTCACCTCTCTGAGACCTGAGCACCCAGCCCCATTTCTGGAGCACAGCTTCTCTTAAGAACCTTAAGCAGCTCTTTGGGCTCGACAGAATTCTGTGGCCAGAGTAAGACATTTCAAGCAAGACCAGAGGTGCTCTGAGCCGCTCTGGAGTGTGCCCTGTCAGCGTGGGCAGTGCGACAGTGGGATGAGCCTGCCCTGGGTCACACTTGCCAAACACCTCTGAATAACAGGTAGAGCAGGACAAGCCCTTCCTGGTGCTGTGGTCCCAGGCACAGGGGCAGGAGAGCTCCTTCTGTTGCTGTGCCCTCAGAAGTTCACACAGGGGAATTTACCACATTCCACTTACATGTCTTAATATAAATGGATTGCTGTCATTGTAAAAGAGAACGGAGAGTTAATTGTAAAGCTCATTGCCTGACAGCAGCCTCGTTACCTTCAATTATCAGGTGGAAATCCTTTGTCCCCTTTCCCAAGGAAGATTCCACCACACAGGTGTAGGTCCCATTGTCAGACTTCTGAACTTTTCTGATGGAGAGCTGAAAGACCTCGCTCGTCTGGCGGAGCTCGTGACGACCCTGCTGTAGGGTCAAGTTGCCATTGTCCTTATACCAAGTTGTTTGGGCTTGAGGGTTGGATTTGGAGTTGCAGGTCAGAGTAACATCTTTCTCTTCCTCGATTTGGAGGGTCTCCTCTCCACTCAGCTGGGGAGGAACTGTTCACAGCAATGCAGGTCAGTGGGCCATTAATAATGCTGCTCGTAGAGGCACAGAACCATTTAGGTTGGAAAAGCCCTCTAAGATCGAGTCCAACTCATCACTGCCAAGGCCACCCCTAAACCATGTCCCTAAGTGTCACATCTGCAGATCTTTTAAATCCCTCCAGGGATGGTGGTTCCACCACTGCACTGGGCAGTTCCATTGATTGATAACCCCTTCAAGTGAAGAAATTTTCCCTAATATCCAAACTAAACCTCCCCTGGTGCAACTTGAGGCCAGTTCCTCTTGTCACTTGTTAACTGGAAGAAGAGACTGACCCCGCCTTGCTCCAATTTCAGGTACTTGAAGAATGGCCACCATTAAACATAAAGTAAGTCCCCTTCACACATCCCTTGTGCTCCTTGTTCAGTGGTCTAACACATCACAGTTGTGCAGCCTTTGCTGATCCCAGGAATCAGCAGGGAAATCAGTGACTGTCACTCCTGTATCTCCTCTGCCCTGACTTGTATCCCTGGGAAAGAATCTAGGTGGAGTCAGGGACATATCCAGAACCTCTTTCTCAAGGGCCCACCCACTCCCCATAAAAGAGGCCTTGGCTCAGTCCATAAGCACCACTGTGGAAAGGGAGTGTCCTATAATGTGAGTTATCTCCTCCTAAACACATTTTTCCTTGGTGAAGACAGCGCACAAGGGTGCAAAACACCGCCCAGACACCGAGCTGCTCAGCCCAGGGCTCCATCCCACCCCGGCCATTGCGCACACAGATCCACCCCGGCGACTCACACTCCACATCCAGGGTCACAGACACCTGCACGGACTTGTCCCGCGCCAGCCTGCACGTGAAGGTGACTCCGTTGTCAGACTCGTTGACTGGGTATACGCAGATGTGGCTGATGTTCACTTTATTCCCCTCTTTCAGCCCCACTTGCCCATCTCCCCGGTACCAGAGCAGGTTCTCAGCCCGGCTGCTGTTGTGAACGAGGCAGGAGAGGGACACTGAAATGCCAGGCCTCGTAGACAGGGGGAAGTCGGCAGCGTGGTTGTTTATGGACAGCTCCAAACCTGCAGGAGGAGGAGGGCAAGGACAGTAAGCTTCCTAAGCCATTCCCTTCCCACAAAAGCTGCCCTGCTCACTTGTCCAGGCCTCAGCCTCGGAGGGGGGACTGAGACTTTCAGGCTTCAGCACAACACCTGTTTTCAGGTGGGATATTAGTTTCTGAGACAAGACGTTGTCTTCATCACAAAGCTCCCTTTACAGTTATTTAAAACAAAAAGCCAGGCTTTTGCAGGTGACTGACAGAACAACAAGGCCTGACCTGTGACAACAAAACGTTTAAAAACCAGCAGTGACCACGTAACACGCAGCAAAAGATCATCCCCATCCCACTGGTCTTGCTAACCCTCCTGCCCCCAGTCACTGTCGCAGCACCACTGTGCCCTCGGGTTTTGTGCTCATTGTTTGATACTCTCTTTTTCAGTTGGAGCTGGATGCCCTTGGAAGTATCAATTAGTTAATCAGCCCCTCAGCTGTATCCTGGACAGGCCGAGTCAGGCAGTTGCAGAGTTGTACAAACCTCAGGACATACCTAATGAAATAAGTATGGGAAATAATTTTTTGCAATGGGCTGAAACTCGCTACTGTAGCCTGAGACATGGATTAATGAACTATAAATATAGCTCAGAATATAAAGGTACTAAAGTCTTGTGAATATAAAGAATTCTGAAGCTCTCTGTCTCTTCCCTGGTGCTCCCAGGTGGCCAAAGCTATCACACTTCTCCCTGCTTAGAGCAGGTTTGGAAACTGTGCCCTCATCAGTCCTGTGCAGCTGCCACAATACTGCTGGAAAATGCTGAAGCTTCCCCATTCCCTTCCCTGCTCCTCTCAAAATCAGAGGCTGTTTTTCAGACAGCCCTCTGGGCATGACCTCCAGAACACCCCAAAACTGGGATGCTGCTGTGGCACATCACCCAGCCCCGGGCAGTTTCGACTGTCGGCGTGACGGGGCTTGGACAAAACCACCACGGGATTTTTTTTCTGTTGCTTACCTGTGGCTACACATGCCAGGAAGGAAATGGCAAGGATGGGTGCTCCGTAGGGAATGGAGAGCCTGTGTCTCTGTGCCATCTTGGGGGGGTGCCCAGCTGGTGATGTCTGTGGAGAGAGGGTCACAGCACTGTTGCCCCCGCTGGGGCTCGCAGGGGTTAATCCCTGCTGCCATCGGACACCCTGGGGAGAGTCCTCACAGCAGGGACAGGGTCACCAGGGAATAAACTGAGCCGATTGTTGCAGGGCATTTTCCAGTTAAGAGAAGATTCACAGGGGTTGGATATCTCTAAACTCCATTTTATGAGTTTGTTGTCCCTAATCATCTGTCAGGGGAACCCGTCTCTGGGCCGTGTAGCACCAGACTTACCTTGGGAAGAGTCTCTGGAGAGGCTGGTTCTGCTGAGAAATGCACAACTCCTTCCCCTCCTTATTTATAGGGTCTGAATTTCAATATTTTATGGTAGTTCGGTAAGAAGCGAACCCATAAAATGGGTTCAAGGCCTCGTTCAGTTCCTGGGTTTCTGAGCTCCCAGAACACTGAAGAAAGCACTTGCTGGGCTCCACGGGCTGTTTTATGAGACTTACCAAGGCAATGAATAACTGAGAGAGTTCCTGCATCAGCCATAAGGGCTTTCAGCCAAAAATAATATCTTTACCTGTCAGCTTTCTGGGTGTTCACAACACTGTTTCAAGCCATAGGAAGTTTATCCTGGTTATCCTAGAGCAGGAGTAGACTCCAATGTGCCTCTTTCTGCCCAAAGCTCTATTGCCATGACCTCCTTTGAGTGGAAAATAAGAAAATGCACAGATTCAGACTTTGAACTGTGTGCTGGCAGAGGAGAGTGCAGAGACACTGTCCTGCTACCAGTGTGTGCCCCCAGGCTGCTCTTGTGTTTAGCTCAGCCCTGGTCCCCCCCAGCATGGAGTGAGGGGTCTGTCCCAACTGTCCCTGCTGCTGAGACAGCTGTACATGGGCTGTGTGTGCCCAGGGCACAACTGACGCACTTGGCCACGTGGAAAACTGTCTGAAAATGCTGCTTACACCTCGGCAGGATGACGGTGCAAAGCACGGGAACCTTGCATTCCCTGGAATGTGTTCTCACTGCTCTCAGTGTCCCTGCAGGCACAGGGCACATCACTCATCAGCAATGGGCTCATCAGAGCCATAAAGTGCATTTCATGAGCAGGAGGAGCCTGGGATGTGTCCTTGAGGTGGGCAGGGAGAGCTCCTGCTCCAGGGCTGCCTGCACACGCAGCACTACTCATTTGTGGGGCTGTTGCAAACAAGGGTCACCTCTGAGTGTTTCTTAATATATCTCTTTCTGTTTATTGGTTTACCCTTAAAACTAACAGAGAATCATTTTCAGTTAAAAAAGTAAATGTGTACAAAAGTCCCTTAAAGAGACATTTCTCAGTCTGCCTTCCAGAAAACTTAGAAATTAGTGTCCAGCCTTTAATGACCTTTTTACCCTCAAACTCAGTTTAAGAAATAAATTTAGCTTCTTCCAACATTTTTAGGCAGTTACACGTCCTGTGCTCGTAGTATTCGACTAACTGTAAAATGCTGGCTTCTGGTTCAGTACAAACTTCAATCCAAACGCTCTTCCTAAGAGTAAAGTGATCTTTGTGGTTTGGAATTAAGCTGAGTTGCAGCAGGGAGGGATGCAAAGGAATGGGCTGGGAAATGGCTGTTTACTCCTGCCAGGACGTGAGCCAAAGGCAGGAGAGTGTGGGGAGCTCTGTGATCCCTCAGATCCCTGCGTTGCTGCAGCGCTCCGGGAGAAGCAGGATGTGATTGGAGTAGGTGAGGATGTAAAGAAGGAAAGCACAGAGTTTGGGGGCACGTTTTGAGTCTAGAAATGAGAGTAAAGGAAAGGGCTGTCAGCTGTTCATTGGGGGGGTTGTCACGACACAGGGCTCAGCATCAAGCAGGACCTGGGTAAAACTCTGCGGGCAGTGAGGTGAGCTCTGGTTCATCTGGTGCAATGGCAGTGCCCTCTTTTGCAATGGGCTTTGAGATCTGCTGAAGGAAGAGGGACTAGAAAATCAAGGTGTCTCTGGCCCAAGGCACCGAAAGGCAGCTTCTTGGAGCGGCTAAGAATTGCTTTCGCAATGACTTTTTACACTTTTCTTTTTGTACAGGGTGTGATTAACTTGTGGGTGTCTAATTACTGAGGTCTAGAGTTTTGTGGGTTGCATTCTCCACCTCTCCATTACGTTTTGGAGGGACGTGAACCTCACGCTCCAGAATGTCAAGCAGCCACTGATGACTTGGTCTGGGGGGAACCTCCTCAGTGAGGCAGATAATCTGTAACCCTGCACGGCAAAGGATCCAACCCTCATGTTTGAGGTACTTGGATCAGGCACTGCCAAGGCTGGATTAGACAGACCGTGGGCTAAAGCCAGAATAATCCACCACAGCAGCTCCTGTTTGTCATCCTCATGGCAACGCTGGACCAACAAACCCAGAATAAGACTGTTGTTAAATATGACTCTGAGCAGCCTCAAAGGGAATTAATTAATAAGCACCAGACTATTCCTGGGTGTAATCCAAGCCTTAGAAACCTGAGAAGAGAAGATTTAGAACATGATAGAGATTGGGCAGAAATTTCTTTTCCACTGGGTGGAACCCCTTAACCTCTGATTTCAAACTTCCCAGCAGTTTCTCCCAGCACGGATCTCCTCAGTGCCTGCAGGGGCACAACTCCTCTTCCCCCCCCAGTCTCCCTGGCAGATGAGATCTCAGTTCATATCCATCAGAATTGTGAGGGCTGATGGTTGCTCTTGGAGTCAGGGGCATGGCAGGATCTGCACAGACCGGACTGGAAGCCCAGGATTGTATCCATGGCTTGGTTTGTCAAGCAAACAATGCCTGTAACGTGGCTGTAATCCCGCTCCAGAAAACATGCTTCTGCAACAGTGCCTGAGGCTTGCTCCAAGGCTGCTCCTGCCCTCCTACTGCTTGCGGTTCCCCACTCCTAATCCCTTCTCAATACGTGGTGCTCCGTATTTTGCAACATTTCCATTGCTGGAGGATGACTGTGACACCCAAATCCACTGCCTCCGCTTGCCAGATATCAGGAGTGGAAAGCAAGGCTGTCAGGGAACGCTGCTTGAACTTACTCAGCACTCCTGTTCCCTCCCACAAAGCCTATTTTTCCCCAAGTATAAAGATTCTGGAGTTGTGATGTGCCCTGATTTCCCAGACTCCCAGCCTATACCCCACATATTTCCCACTGTCGAGAAAGACCAATCTCAAGTATTTTTTAAATGACTTTATTAATCATTCTGTTTTCTGATGGTCCTTATATAAAGGTCACACACTGTGACCCCAAAAGCAGAGGGATGATAAGTGAATTTTATTCTTGAGAAGGAAGAAGAGTAGTAAAAGAAGCACCAAACCAGTGAATATTGTGTAATTTTAAAATAAATTGCTTAGAGGGCATTAAACATTCAAATGAAAAATAGGCATTAATTAATTAAGAAGCAGATCCTGGGATAAATGTAGTGGAAGAGAAGCCTTCAGGAAGGTGAGGCTCCAGCACAAGTGTTGGATGTGAATGCCACCTGCTGGGTACTCACCCACCAGAGCTGGCAGGGAGCAAAGTCACCTGGGAGTGCTGGAAACTGGATGAGATCCCTGTGAACACCTTGGCACAAGCTCAGAGGCAGTGAACCCTGTAGAAGGCTAAAGCCACACTCATGGGCAGGTCTGCTCAAACCTCTGGGCTCAGAGGAGGAGGAGGAGGCATCTCTGAGATGGTAATTCCACTGGTGTTTTTCATCTGCGCTGTGGGAAGTGCCCTGTGGAGTCTGTGCTCCTTCTGATGCAATAAAGGAAGCTTATCCTGGGCTTTTATTGATTTATATATATATATATATTGCTCTACTCATGTACTTCTTTCAGAAGTAAATTAGGCTTGGAGAACTTCAGTCATCATTTCAAACAACTGCTCCTGGATGGTTTAAACTCTCCCTTTCTGAAGTGAGTGCAAGGAACAGAGCCATGCTTCGGGAGGGCAAGTCCAACCTGGAATCAGGACCATCAGGGCACTTACCAGTGTTCCCTGTGCTGAGAAGAAAGCACTGCAGTAGGCACAGCTTCTCTGACCTGCAGTCAGCACTGGTCCCCCTCTTTCCCAGCTGCTCTGGGTCACATCCAGCACTGATGGGTGCTGCAGTCACCAATCACGACAAAGACAGTGCCTTAGTGTGGCTGCTGCTGTCCTGCCCTGACACGTGGTCCCAAATAAAAGGAAATGGGAAAGGAGCTTAGCATTAAATTAGCAATATAGGCCCCCTGCAGGAGATAAAAGTGACTTGTCTTAGTATGAAATTCCACCTAAATCTTGGCCCTTGTAGTTTCCCCTCTCAGGAGTCCTGGTTGGCAGCCTGGAGCTCTCATACCCAGCAGCACTCAGGGAAACCAATGCTGTTATTCTTTGCTTCGTGTCATCCACTCATGAAACTCCATTTTCTACCTGACTGACCCAATTTTCCAGGTGGGCTCCTGCCTCAGCTGGGGATCAGGCTGTGTCGTAGCAGTGATTACCTGCCAGGTTCCCATGATTTCGTTAGTCTTATGGACAGAAAACACATCTCTGGAACCAATGGGCTGGACTTGAAGGGTTTCTGTTTCCTCTGGGAAACAAAAATTGCTAGGTAGGATGCTAAACTTAGTGCCTGTTTCATGCTGGTGGCCAGTACAGGACATTCCTTAGCAGTATTCCCAGATCCGCTTCTCTTTAGGACTGTGCTCCGCTGTGGCTGCTGAGCAGCCTGGATCTCAGATATTTTTGTCTACCTAGGAACTTTCATCACCAGTGGGATTTCTTGGAAGTGCTCTGCTGGAAAACCAAGTGCTGATTTGATCTTGTGAAGTGCTGCCAGACAATATTAGCAGTTTTAACTTCCCCGCTGTGGTGTCACCCTTCATTCCCTCTGCGAGGAATCTGCGAACACTGAGCTGCTCCATCTTTCCAGGTCATGGGAAACCATTTGCTGACAACCTTCAGGAGGAAACTGCGTTCCTGTTCCAGGGCTGGAATCAGTGCAGGGTGTCATGAGGCAAAAGCTGC